CAGGGCAGAGGGTGCTGTGGGGCAGGGTGCGGGGTAGGGGTTGCTGTGGGGCAGGGGGTGGGGTAGAGGGCGCTGTAGGGGCTGCAGGCAGGGCAGAGGGTGCTGTGGGGCAGGGTGCGGGGTAGGGGTTGCTGTGGGGCAGGGGGTGGGTAGAGGGCGCTGTAGGGGCTGCAGGCAGGGCAGAGGGTGGTGTGGGGCAGGGTGCGGGGCAGGGGTTGCTGTGGGTCAGGGGGTGGGGTAGAGGACGCTGTGGGGCAAGGCAGGGGATTTGTGGGGCAGGGGCACTGCACTGCCCCACTGTAACCCCCACCTCTTCTCCGCAGCAGCTCCTTGACAGGCCACCTGTCTGGAATGCTGGTGGGCGTGGCTCTGGCGGCCACGCCCCTCGGCTTGGCCACGCCCCTCTCCATTCACTTATGATGGGACCACGACTACAATGGCAGAACCGTCCCCACCCCACCGCCAGGGGGCGCCTGAATCCAAACCCACCCGTGAGTGACAGCACCGCTGGGAGCCCTGTTGGGGCAGGAGGTGGGGCAGGGCAGAGGGCGCTGTGGGGCAGGAGGTGGGGGGTGGTGGTGGTGGTGGTGGGTTAGAGCAACGGGGGGCTGGGAGCTCGGACGCCTGGGTTCTCTCCCCGGCTCTGGGAGGGGAGTGGGGGCTGGTGAGTACAGCAGGGGGGACTGGGAGCCAGGACTCCTGGGTTCTCTGGGAGGGGAGGGGTGTGTGTATCTGTGACGCTGGGTGGCCCAGCAGGCCCCTTGCCCAGCCTGGGGGGGCCCGGTGCAGCAGAGGCTGGAGGGGAGCAGGTGCCCCCCACATCGAACAGCCCGTCTCTCTGTCCCCACAGGCCCAGCCAGAGCCGTCGGAGCTGCCAGCCCCCCAGCCCAGCCCCACGGCACCTGTTTGGTTCCCAGACCTGTTTTGTCAACCTGGGTCTGGTGCTGTTTGTAGGTAAACACGCCCGGCCTGCGACTGAGAGCCCCTCTGTTTCCACTGCACACAGCGGGTGCCTGCCCCACCCCAGGGCGGGGACTGGCTGGCTCAGGGGGGCAGGGGCCTGTCCCCTCTAGGGGGCTCCGGCTCCCACCCAGCCCCAGGGCGGGGACTGGCTGGCTCAGGGGGGTGGGGAATGGGGCAGGGGCCTGTCCCCTCTAGGGGGCGCCGGCTCCCCCCCGGCCCCAGGGCGGGGACTGGCTGGCTCAGGGGGGTGGGGAATGGGGCAGGGGCCTGTCCCCTCTAGGGGGTGCCGGCTCCCCCCCGGCCCCAGGGCAGGGACTGGCGGGCTCAGGGGGCTGGGGAATGGGCTGTCGCACGAGAGAGTGATCCCATGCGTGTGGGAGAGAGCCGGGCAGAGCAAACATCCCCTGTCGCCCCCTGACCCGGGGGCACCGTGTGACACGCCCTGGCGCCACCTGCAGGCAGGGCAGCAATGCCCCGTGTGGCCACATGCATCGGTGTCGTGCAATGAACCACCAAGCGCGTGAGCGGTTGCTGGTGCCAGGCCCAGGGGCGGGCGTGGGGAAAGCAGTGGGGACCCGCTGGCATCACTCAGATAAGGCCAGAGCGCCTGAGATCAGGGTGCAAAGCGTGCTGATTGGCTGAGGGGGCCTGGGAGAGCACAAGAGAAAGCTCAAGTGGGCGTGTGGGAGGGGAAGTGTGTGAGAGTGCACTAGTATGCGAGGGCCAAGGCACAGGGAGAGCTTGCGAGAGGTGACGGGCACATGGGGCGGAGGAGACGTGCGAGGCATTGCAAACCTCCAGAGGCACATGCGGGCAAGAGCATTTGTGCACGCTGAGTCGTGCAAGGGGAGAGAGCAGCAGCCAGGATCACCAGAGAACGTGCGAGAGACGTGCAGTGGCAGCAGGCAGGGCTGGTGCAGAAGCACAAGATTGCAGCAGCGCTTGTGTAGGATCACAAGACACAGCAGGACACACCCTCACAAGCACCTGTGAGATGCAAGCTGCATGCGCACAACTGACCCTAAACACACGCAAGGGTAGGAGTGGGGGAGATGCTAAGCACGTGCCCACCCTGTCATGAAGCAAGGACATTTGTATGCACGCTCCCACACGCACAGGATTGCACGCGCTTGTGAGTGCATCAGTGCTCACATTCTTGGGGCCTAACAGCGCACGAGCGCATTAGCAGGCAAGCTCATTGCAGGCCACACAACTACAGGCATGTGTGAGATCACAAGCACACTGCATTCACAATCACAGGCGGCCACACAGGGTCAGAAGGGCATGCACGGGGTCACAAGCATGCTGCACGCAACATCACAAGTGCACATGCTGGATCACAAGCGCACTGCATGCAAAAGCAGAGGCGGATGCACAGGGTCACAAGCGCACTGCATGCAAAATCACAAGCGCACATGCCAGATCACAAGCGCATGATCACAAGCGCAACCGCCTGCGAAATCACAAGCGCACGCACAGAGTCTCAAATGGGGCCCAGCGCATTAGCGGGCCGCCCTCAGCCCGCCAGGCGCCGCTGGATTGGGAGCCACAGCCAGGGCGCCTGGGCAGGGGGCACAGAAGTGGGGGGTGCCAGGAGGGCTGGCAGGGGGCTCGGGTCCCCCCCCCACAGAGGACGGCAGCCACAAAGGTCCAATATAGATTTTATAGAGCGATCTCGAGAGAACCATTTCCAGCGCCAAAAACATCTCTATATATTAAAAAGATCATTCACTTTTCTCTCAGAAAAATACTGCCAGCGTGGCCCCTTGTTCCGGGGGGGGACAGGGGACAAAGCATGGCCCCCCCACAACCAGGAGGGGGTGTGAAGCTGAGCGAGGGGATATTTGTCCAAAGCAGCAGTGGGGGGTGATCTCCCACGGGGGGGGGGAATGCCCATTGGCAGCAGCATTTGGGGGCGTCCTGGGGATGGAGGGGCAGGAACAAGATCCCAAGAGGAGAGGAAACTGACAAAGAAATTAGCAAATGGTGGGGCAGGAGGGAGCCAGGACGCCGGGGTTCTCTCCCCGGCTCTGGGAGGGGAGTGGGGGCTGGTGGGTCAGAGCAGGAGGGGCTGGGAGCCAGGACGCCTGGGTTCTCTCCCCGGCTCTGGGAGGGGAGTGGGGGCTGGTGGATTAGAGCGGGGGGGCTGTGAGCCAGGACTCCTGGGTTCTCTCCCCAGCGCTTGCAGCAGAGGGGGGCTGCCCTCGGTGCAGGCCTGGTGTAGATCGGGGTCCCCCTCCCCGCTGAGTGCACGCCGTCAGGGGGGCAGTCCATGCTGGGGATGCTGTTTTGGGGCTGGAATCTGGGGCGCCCAGGGGCTACGGCTAGCCCCCCAATAGGGGAGGGGGGCAGTAATTCGAGGGCCAGCAGCCCGTGAGGCAGAGCCGGGGGGGCTGAAGGCCGGGCCAGGTTCCTCCATCCCTGTCTCGGGAGTAGGGGGGCTGGAATGCAGGAGGCTGCGACGAAGCAACTGGCCAAGGATGGGGTGACAGCAGGGGGGAGGGGTAGTGAGGAGCCAGGACTCCTGGGTTCCACCCCACGAGGAGGGGCCGGGGCTGCACTGTTAGTGGGTCTGGGTGGGGAGAATCTCACTCAGGCAGAGCCTAGACCGGGGTGGGGTCAGAGCGGCTCAGAAGGGGACAGCCCAGCCCCCCAGGGCTCCCAGCCCCCCAGAGCAGAGCCCCCAGGGCTCCCAGCCCCTCTTGCTTGGGAGGAGAAGCAGAGAGGGCTCCTCTTCCCAGCATGCATTGCTGCCCCACCTCCAGCTCCCCTAGGGTTCCCCTCTGGACCACAAGGCCCGGCAGAATCCCAAACCCCGCTTAAGAGCCAGCTAACCCCCGACCCACATTCCCGCCCCCTCCACTTTCCCAGCATGCCCTGCTGAAAAATCCCCACCGAGACTAGAAGTCCCAGAATGCCTCGGTGCTGGGCCCAGAACTGCTCTCCTCGGGGCCGGTTCCCTTAGAAGCCATTGCAGTAGTTAAAGCACGTGTTCCAGCCCATCCCCACGGCGTCAGGGCTGCACAGCCAGAAGCCGGCGCGGGGCGGGTGTGGGGATGGGCACTTCCAGCCCAGAGCAGCCGTCCGGGCACCTCGCTATAAGAAGGGGTTGGTGGCTGGATGCTTGATGACGAAGGGCGGGGACGGAGCTGCCGTCTGGGGGGACAAAGGGGGGTTAGGGAGACTGGGCACAGGCGGCAGCAGACAGACGGATGGCTGTAACTGCTCACACAGTCAGACACCAATGCCCATCGGATCCCCGACTCGTACCCCACAACCAGCCCAGACCCCAGGTCCAAGGCTGCTTGTCAGCCGGGCCCCACAGAGAGGGAGTGGGGCACCGCCCATGGGTGAATGGAGTCGACACAGGGGCCAAGGAATGCAGAAACCAGCAAGGAGGGCGCCACACTGTGTGGATGATGGGACAGATCTGATCTGAGTGACTGGGTGAGTCAGCAGAGCGGCTCTGCCCTAGGGAAACGATGCTGGGACCTGGCGCTCCAGCTTCGCTGTGGGGCTGTAGCCGGAACCCCCTGGAAAGCAGGGGAAGACGCCAAACGCCGGGAGGGCCCCACTGCAACCCGACCGGCTGGGAATGGGATGGTCCTCACCATGAAGGGATTGGTGGAGATCCCGACCGGCTGCCCCAACTGGGCTGCAGCAAACCCATCAAAACTGGAACCTGCAGGGGGAGAGACGAGCTGGCAGAGAACCCAGGAGTCCTGGCTCCCAGCCCCCCCTGCTCTGACCCACCAGCCCCTGATCCCCTCCCAGAGCTGGGGAGAGAACCCAGCCCCCCCACTCTAACCCACCAGCCCCCACTCCCGTCCCAGAGCCGGGGAGAGAACCCAGGCGTCCTGGCTCCCAGCCCCCCCCGCTCTAACCACCAACCCCACTCCCGTCCCAGCACCGGGGAGAGAACCCAGGCGTCCAGGGCGGGGGCTCACCTGGCACAGTGCCGTTGGGCTGGAAGGGGTTGGTGTTGGGCCGGGCGGGCGGGGCGGCAGGCGGGGCGAAGGGGTTGGCGTAGGCTGGAAGAGAGGGTGGCACGGGAGAGGTGGCTCATTGCTACTGGCTGCCGACGGGCGTTAGAGCCCCCCCGGGCCAAAGCAAAAGCCACCTACCCCCGTAGGCGGGCACGGGGCCGGGCGGGGGCAGGGCCGCCGGCTGGCTCAGGCTCCCGAAGAGGCTGCGGAGGAGAGAGACGGTGTTAGCCAATCAGAGTGGGCCACCCACAATGCACCTGGTTTCCCCACGGTCCTGAGCCAGGGGCCGACCAGTCTCCTGGGGTCCCCCTGCCCAGGGGCCACCGGGGGTGTGTGTGTGTGTGTCTCCGGAGAGGGAGTTAATACCTGCTGGGTGCTCCGCCCATGTCCGGGATCCCACTGCTAGGGTGGCTGGAGGGGGAGGCGCCGAAGCCGCTCACCTGAGCACCCCCTGCTGGCACAGAAGGGAACAGCGCAGTCACCCCCGCCAAGGCGCACACCCTCCCTCTGGGAGTCGGGGCAGTGGGTGCAGGTTGCCCCCAGGCTGACCCGGCCCCACTTCACCCATCACCTGGGAGAGGCCAGGGAGCAGCGCCGGCTCCCCCGGTGCCCATGCCAGGCACCGCTGCACTCTTCAGGGGAACATTATTTCTATATTCACTCCCAACTAAACTCAAATTGATTTTCCCTGTCCTGAGCCTGCAGCCAACTCCACATGCTGGGGAGAGAACCCAGGAGTCCAGGCTCCCGGCCCCACCGCTCTAACCCACCAGCCCCCACTGCCCTCCCAGAGCTGGGCAGAGAACCCAGGAGTCCTGGCTCCTAAGTCCCATATCCCAAGGGAGAAGCAAACCACGATCATTATCTCACCAAAGCTGTAACCGCCTGGGACTGTCCGACTGGCTGGAAACAGGAAGCAGAAAGCAAAGGATTAAAGCAAGAGAGATCCCAGGGGAGCCCCACCCTCCTCCCAGCTAGGGGGACCCCAGGACTTGGGAGCAGGGAATGGGGACAGTCCCCCAGAAATACCCACCCAAAGAGGGGCAGCAGGGGAAGATCCCCACATGGGGCAACCATTCACCCGCACATTCCCAGCTGAGATAGACTAATGGTTGGCCCATTCTCATGAGCCGGGGAGAGAACCCAGGAGTCCTGGCCGCACCCCTGCTCTAACCACTAGACTGCGTGTCGCTGCTCTCTGATGCAGCGTTCACGTCAAGGAAGGCCCGGGCAGCGGGCGGGGCAGGGGGAGCGTTACCTGCGGCTGTCGGCTGCGTGTGGAATGGCACCGACGCCCCTCCAAATGCCGACGCTACTGGGCTGCACCCAAAGGCATCAAAATTGGCAAAGGCAGCATGGGCTGGAGTCTGGCCTGGGAAGGACACAAGAGGTCAGCCAGCTCCCAGCCTGCACTACCCAGTATCATCAGGTGGGGGCCTCGCTAGCTCAGAGCTCTATGGTCAGCCATCTCCCAGCCTGCACTACCCAGTATCACCACATGGGGGCCTCGCTAGCTCAGAGCTCTATGGTCAGCCATCTCCCAGCCTGCACTACCCAGTATCACCACGTGGGGGCCTCGCTAGCTCAGCGCTCTATGGTCAGCCAGCTCCCAGCCTGCACTACCCAGTATCACCACGTGGGGGCCTCGCTAGCTCAGCGCTCTATGGTCAGCCAGCTCCCAGCCTGCACTACCCAGTATCACCACGTGGGGGCCTCGCTAGCTCAGCGCTCTATGGTCCGCCAGCT